GATTTAGCCGGCGGATGATACCGCGGACTAGCTGGTGGTCGCGGAGCGCAGGCCTGTTGGGCTTCTTGGGTACAGAGATGGTATGGATGAAGGAACACTTACTGACTTACTGGCAAAATGCTCCGGGCAAACTCCTTATGTCTCCCTCTAGCAACTTGACTTTGAAGAGTCCTGAAGCAGGAGACCCTGAACAATGCCGGGGCGAAGGGGGGGGGGGGGCGGGCAATGGAGTTATGGCCCGTGGATGAAGTCTGTCATAGTAGCTGGATCCAGGCCTTGGAGGAAGTTTGGTGGAAGCTTGTCAAAAGCCTCGACGAGCCTTGGACTACGGGTGCAAAGTATGCCTTCCGCCGAGGCACGCCTAGAGGCTAGGAAGGCCATTTGCGACGGAGTTTGGTCGATGGAAGACCCAGACCGTGGACAAACTTCTGAGTCATCCATCGCGCAGTTGTCCCCAGGCATCAGGGCTTAGTCGAGCTTTGACGAGGGGCTGGGGCCGGGCCTGCAACCTGCGGCACACCAAAGCCTAAGAATCCCGCGGATTCGCATTCGTGGTGCCCTCGCCTGCGTGTCATCCCGCGTCTCAAGCTCGTAATGTTCAGCGCTTAGGCTTTTGGCCTAGGGGTGTCCGATTTGCTGCATGCATTGGCTGGAATCATCACCCGTCAAGTCCTCGAAGCATCTGGCACCATCCGGCGATTCGGACTTCTCACGACACGCGGCGCGTAGGCGAGAGGGCAATAATTATTCAATAATGATTCAGCACAACGATCTGCACTTGATTGAGGAATTCATCGCTTCGGCGAGGTCAGACTTCGCCCAGCCAGGGACGGCAGGTCATTGTGCCAAAACAAGACATATGAAGTGGTCAGAGTGACATGCAATTGGACCTTTCACTGCACCTGAGGACCTGAGCAAAGAACATGTTGAGAGCTGGGGCTTCTTGGATTCGACGTGCAGACGGCCTCCAGTGGAAGAGGGCAGCCACAGCTGCCACCAGCATTAAGAAGATGATGGTGACTATGGCACACGCAGTGAAAAGGGTGCTCCTCAGCAAGCCAGACAGGATGGAGCGGTCAGTTTTTGTTCGACCTAAGGGTTGAAGGCTTGGGGTCGTGATGGGACTTGGGAGTTCGACCGGGCAGCCTTTAGATTTTAAGAACCTGCGGCAGGCCAGTGAGACAAAACAAGTTCAATCGCAGGCGAAAGCGTGTTGCGACACTTAAGGCCTCATGCTACATCCTCAGCACTCTTCACGAAACCTCTTCACCCTGGAAAGAAAATCCGCCCAGTCGCAAAAAGCCTGGCTGAGCAGGCCGAGGCATTCGATGTTGGTTCCTCTTTCGCCAAGAGGGCACGACATGGACACTGCGTGCTCTCGGTTGGGAAGAAAAGGAAACAGAGGGAGGCCCCGGCTTGGTATTCATAATGATATATTGTCTGCTTAGCAAATGCGAGCGCTCTCCCTCGCCCTCGCCCCCCGCACAACGCACCCCCCACGTGCACACTCTCCCTGCGGCTCTTGCCAGGACAACGTGAAACCTGCATCACTACCGTGCAAGACGCCGAAATACTCTCAACTGCCCTGAAATCCAGAAGAAACGGGCCACCTCCGATGCTGTGGAGAGGAGCGCCGCTGCCGATAGATTCGCTCGAGCTCGATCTCCTCAGCTGTTTCAAACTTTTGCCCACCTGCTTCTAGTCGGGCCGAGACTGCCCAACAACGTTGTCCTGACACGGAACATATTTCTGCACAACGCGCAGCAAAGAACAAAACAAGAGAGGGCCCTCCAGCCTCCAACCCACGACAGAATCAACCAACGGCTCCAATCAGACCAGGCTGCAATCGCCGGCAATTTTCGAAGCTTGACCGGTCTCTTTACTTTGGGAGGGGCGTGCGTGCTACCAGCAGCTTGGCCGCTGGCGGCTCTTTGGGGACTTGCGCTGCTCTTGTGCCGTTCTGCGAAGCAGACTTGCAACATCCATTCGGCTGTACTTTGATGCCGCTGCAAGGGGCGTTTGGCCCGCACTGTCCGGTCTGTACATGTCGGCACGTGCCTGCAAGAGTAAGCCCACAACTTCTAGGTGCCCACTTTTAGAGGCTATGAACAAAGGTGACTCCTCTGTGTCGGCAACACTATCCGCATCAGCGCGGAACTCCAAGAGAAGGCGCACCACCTCCGTAAAGCCAGAGCAAGAGGCTTTCCACAAAGGCGTTCTGCCAGACTTGCTGGCGATTTCTATATCAGCGCCCGCCTCAAGCAATAATCTCACGACCTCTATGTTCCCAAACTCGCATGCTGCTCCGAGGGGCGTCTCACCCTCAACCATGGCTGGTGTGTTCTTCTTAGCGCCGACATGCAGCAACAAGCTTACGAGCTCGGTTCGGCCGAAGTAAGCTGCAATCCAGAGAGGTGTTTGGCCGGACGCGTTTGCAGCTTCCGCATCGGCGCCAGCTTCCAAAAGCAAGCGTGCCACCTCCACATGTCCATGCCAGCAGGTACTGCGGAGGGGTGTGTAGCCACCCTTGCCCAAGTTTGGATCTACAAGTTGTTGCAAAATTGCCTCGACCTCTACCGCCTCGCCGCGTGAGGATGCGGTGGCAAGCTGATCGACTTGACCCTGGGAAGCCTGGCAGAAGGGCTGTAGAACCAGCTGTATGTGCATGGGGGAATCCAGAATTGCTGTGTCGTCAAGGCAAGTGCCATTGTGTAAGATCTTCTGTCGGAAACGTGGGACCCCACAAAGCTTCTGCAACGTTTGCTTCAAGGTTTTCACGTCACTTAAGCCTTCAACCGGCATGCTAGCCACTGGCTCCCCGGAAATCTTCCAGACATGCAGCATGCTGGGCGGTTGTGGTTGGGGACTCAAAAGTATGCTTGAGCCGAGACAGGTCCGCCTGCCAGCAAGGCAAGAGGCTTACCGCGACTTGCCGAACTTATCTAAGGCTGGTGCTGCTGCCCCTTGGTGACAACGACTCAGGTTAGGTTGGAAGGCCCGAGGTCAGTAGCGAACAAAATTGCACGCGACTACTACATGGCGGCTCTATCGCTTACCAGTGCTGGCTCGTCAGGCCATGCCATGATTGAAGGAGTTTCTGGCACCCTGCATGGAAGAATGCCATCCCAGGCTCTTCGTACGAAGTGTAGTACCCACTATCGCCGATGTCTCCAGTCTCAAAGATGCTCATGTTCTGAAACAGTATGGAGAGAAGGAAGATGCCCGCCTCGGTGCGGTGAGGACAGCTTGAAGATCCTGCTTTTACTACCAAGGACTAGAAGGCTTACTTCGAACCTGGAGGTTTCCGGTGTGTGAGGGGAGCACTTGTTATAGAACTGGAGTGTTGAGATATCCGGGCAGCCCACAGCCTACATCCGAGCCTACACCACAGAAACCGCACAACCTCACACCTGGCCGCATCACAACGAAACCAAACCTTTAACAAGCCTCGGCCAACAATTCGGAACCCCGAAAGCCCAAAACGATTCTTTTACTGAGGCCTTGGCAGATAATGCGAAAGCCCCCGGGCTTCCCCCCACGTAGACGAAGAAAACCATCTGGACCTTGGCCACTACTGCGTGCGTCATGTCTGGTGTTCGATCCTTCGGTTCTTTGGGGTTGTTCTTTGGCCTCCTGCACGATCGGCGGGCGAGCCGCGCCAGTCACGCTCGTGTCCACGCGTTGCTGTTAGCCAAACAACCAAGCCTCCAAACATAGAACACTACGCTTCTGGCTCATGGACCGAGGCACGAACACCTCTAAGAACAAAGGGCTTAGGGCTCAGGGTTTGCTCCAGGACCATGGTGTGGCTGGGACTGCTAGGATTCGGGGTGTTGGGGACGGGTGGGGTGGGGGAGGAAGCGCTTGTGTTGCGGGATGAACGCTTGATTCAGTTCGAGCATGCCTCTGTTCTCAGCCTTCAGTCTGTCGTCTTGCCCAGGTTGTCCGAGAACCCGAACTATGCGTGGTACATGTGAATATCGAGGAGATGATGATGGTGGTGATGCTGGTGGTGCTGGTGGTGGTGGTGGTGGTGGCGTGAGGGTGGTAATGTCGGGCCCAAACCGCTTGTTAGTTGTTCGTATGTCTTGCCCTGAGGGAATCCGACCCACGCACCTTCACTGGCTACCATTCGTGCAGCACCCTCAAAGACGACAATGTTCGCTGACTGTGCTTGCCAGCTTCACTGCGGCCTGCGTTACGTACAAAACATTTCCAGGAATCTCAGAAAGCAAGAGTCCAATGGCCCCCAGCTCTTTATAATATACAACTCGGCTGTGCTGTACTGTAGAGGATGAGGCATTGCTCCACCTTCTTCCGAGCAGTACACATGCTAAACTATACCCAACACAGGAGACTTTTGCCACTCGAGTAAACAAGTCCCCAACAACACCAGCCGTGGAGTTAGGCTCTCAAGGCTTTCAAGGTGCCCAGCTGCGCCCTCTGGCAATTCTGACAGGCGATGCTGCATCTTGATCTGACTTGAAGGTCTCACCCCCGAAGCAGTAACACTCCACCCAAAACGAATCCAGGAACCTAGCATTACAGAAGACAGGGATCCGCTTTTGAAGCTTGCCCAAAGTTGGCCAAGAGACTATCGGCTGGCTATCGGCTGGCAGGGGCGAAGGTGGCAAACGCGAGGCCACTCTGTGCAAGGTCGCTCCCTCCAGCCCTAAATGGCAGCTGCGGATCAGCATGCGCTGCATGACAGGCGCTAATTGCAGCATGAATCTTGTACCCGTTCACACATCCTTACAAGCCCTCCCTTTTGGCTTGTGGCTCAACAACCTGACAGTTGCAACTTTACGAGTGCAGGATTTCTCGCTGCGAAACCTCACACCCCCAAGCACGAAAATCAAAGACGCAAAGCTCTAAAGCCATTAGAGTTGGTCGGATTCTAGTACCCCTACTATGATTCCTACTCAGGACCGTCAGTATAAGGGGGACATTCCAACCTTACAGCCATAAAAGGCCTGAAGCCAAACTCCAGAGTTCCAGGCTTGGCTCTGAACAAGGTTCAGCGGAGCTGCTGGTGGCAACCCTCGGCCGCGAGTCCGGGCTTTGGTGGCCAGGGACTATGAGGCCCTGAAGAGGCTTGTCTCTACGTCTCTGACAAGCCACAGGTAAGGTTCAGGGGCAGCCTCCCATGGGTCCGCATGCACTGCCCGAGTACACCGCCAAGGCAAAGCGACAAATACAGCCCAAAACGATTCGATTAACGAGCCTGTCGGGCTCAGGAACGGAATGGGCAAACTCAAGACTCAAGAATGTCGAAAAGCCCGAGCCCAGCCGAGCCCCCTGAAGTCACACCTGGAACGCCTGAGCTTTGTGAAGCGCTTTGAACCTTTGAACCAAAACCACCTTTTGGGTTACCAGGCGAGCTTTGCACCCCCAAGTCCGCAAAGGCCCAGCTGCTCAAGGAGACTGGTGGCCTGAGTCAGAAGGCTAAGGGTCTTGAATGCAAGGTATTTGACGGCATGTGGCCACTAGATTTCCACAGATTTCATATGAATTCTGATGCTGATGCCACAAGCTCCCTGTCTCTCCATGTGTCCCTCAAACTCTGGCCCACAACGTGCTGGCCATTGATGTCCGAGTGCCCAGCACTGCAGCAGCCTGGCTGCAAGGGACTTTTTGCGCAGCTTCTGGGGATTTTGGGGCTTCAGGTGGAAGGGGGAGGGGCGTCCGGTTCCTGATCTGGTTTCAAGATCACGGGGTCAAAGTCCTGGCCGCTAGAAAACCATGAGCCTTGCCGCTCAAAGTCCTGGTCAAGCGTTGTGCCCCCCATCCATATAACAGACTCATACCGTCAAGGCACTATAGCTGTCCAAATGTCGTGGGCACAAAACACATTGATAAGCTTGCAGGAAGCCACTACCTGGCTCGGAACCGCAGCTTGATGGCCGAAGAAATGTTCTGGACAAAAGAAGCTCAGGTTGGGGTGGGCTGTCGGCACTGTAGCTTTGACACAACATCGTAATCTTCAGAATGTTCTGGCCTTCACCCAACAAGGCCTGAACCTGGAACATCCGACCACCCGAGGCTTCAGTTTCGGCTCGACTTTTTTTTCTGCAAGCTGGCATCGTTGGCCATTCAACAACGCATTGCCACACAGCCACTACAACAGCCTCCCCAGCAGCCGTATAAAGGTTAGCTAGCGTACGAAGCTGTGAAGCCTTAAGCCGCTGCCCCCTACTAATTACCCCCTACTACCCCCTACCACTCCTAGAAGGCGAATGCTACCAGTGGGGAGCCTGAGTGCACCCATTTTCGACTAAGCAAGGCTGATCACCAGGCGGCTCAGCCCAGGAACATCCAAGCCGCCCACGCTGCGAGCCTCAACTTGTGCACACCCTGCTTTTGGGGCGTTGAAAACACTTTTTCTAGGCTAAAGGTAAAAACGACCGAGTGCTGCTCGGGGCCACCGTGTTCTACTGAGCAGGAAGGGCAACACATTTGGCTGCAGCCCTTGAGACTGGGCGTGTCCGTCAATGCGCAACGATTCCTTCCACTAAAGACCTTGCAGGACCTCCCCCGTGCTGCCAGAGGCACCCCATGAGCCCCCTTGCAGAGGCTCCACTGCGGGTGCCTGTGACCGCTGCCACCAGGGGATCCTTGAATTTTTCGCAAGTGCATCGGCTTCAGTTCTACAGCCCCACCCCCCGCAAACCCCCTCCCCGCCCCCCACCACCTCCGAAGCACGCATGCACGTCAAGCCGAAGTGGCAGAAGGCTGGACCAAGGACAAGCCGAACACGCCATGCATGGAGAGCACGGGATGCAAGGGCTGGCCTGAGCTGGGCTAGGGTGTGGGGCTTCCGACATTACAGCCCCCGATTTTTACCAACCTTCCGTTGTTCAGCCGCATGGTTTGCACAAGCTTTCCGTTCTCCCGCTTCCGGGTTGACACAAAACCTTCTGTTTTCCAGCCCGCAGGGGACACAACAAACCTTGTCTTTACCAGACCCCTGGGCTCCAACAAAACCATCTTTTAACGTACAAACATGTCGGATGCGATTGTGCCAGAGCGGGTGCCCATGCCCCGAAGCTGGAGGCACGGTACATGCGATCATTTGCGGTCGGGGGGCCTTCTGTCAGGATGCTGCACGGCATCGCAAAGACCGTGCTGGCACCCTCAGTGTTGGTGAGGGTGCAGGTGGCTGCTTGCGGGCTTCAACGTCCCTGACCCTTATTCAGACAATTAAAAAACTAAAACCAACAATTTGCAATACCCTTGCACCTCGTCCGCCACGAACACCGTGCCGGAGCCATCCCAGGCCAGACCGCGGGCCAGCACGAAGCCATCGTTGAGCGCCGTAGCATTGCCACCGCCATACTTGGACACCCCGTAGACCTCATCGCATGGGGGTCTTTGCAGCGTGGGTCGTCTAGGGTATCGGGGTAGAGGCCACACCACTTGAAGGCTCGTGCCTAGAAAGGGCACATCGTATCCTTAGCCTTTTCTTTACACTTGGCTCTGTCCTTAGCCTTCCCTTTACACGTGGTTCTATCGCTGTCAGCTGGTTCGATTACGCGGTAGGGATGGCCAAAGAAATCTATGTCCAAGGCTTCAGGTTTAGGAGTCCAGGAGGGTTCGACTCGGGCTGAGCGCGCTCGATTCCTTCTTTCCTTCCTTGCTCTCCTGCCCTTTGTCTTCTTAACCCTCCCTTGCCAACCACAAAGGACCAACACGAAGCCACACAGTCATCATTTTCAAAAGATCTCGGAAGTCGAGACAAGTTGCCCCTCCACCATCGCTGAAGATGATCGCGCTGGTCGTCGCCGCCTCAGGATAGTCTACCAGGTGACGACAGACATTGATCCGCATGCCTTGATGCACCTGCCCTTCTCGCAAGCACTGAGTCAACAAGCTTAAGCATCCCCAAAGTCCCCCTCGCCCAACTTTGTAACGCACCAAATCTAGCAGCCCTTTCAACCGCAAACAGCAATGAAGCTGGGCTCAGCAGAGCAAGCCCCAAAGCCAAAATTATTTTACTTCGAACTCTCTTGATGGAGATACTCTAGGGTTGGGCACTCCAGGAATACTCTGGGGCTGGGCACTCCGGGGACACTCTGGGCTTGGGGCACTCCAGGGAGAGTCTGGGGTTCGGCACTGCAGGGAGACTCTGGCGCTGGGCGCTCCAGGGACACTCTGAGACTGTGGGGTTGGGCACTCTAGGGAGACTGGCACTGGGACACTCTGGGGTTGGGCACTGCAGGGAGACTGGGGTTGGGCACCTTCCGGGGACGCTCTGCAGTGGGCACTTAGGGAGACTCTGGGTTGGACAGGGAGACTCTGGGCCTGGCACTCCGGGGGACAATGGTTGAGCACTTCAGGGTCCAAGGATACTTTGAGGTTGGGCACTCTGATGAGTGAGGAGTAGACGGGGCGAGGAGAAGAGTTGAGTTTAAAATCTAGCAACCCCACACCGAGGGTGGGGAATAAACAACTTTGAGAGTCGGTGCTGTCAGAAGCCCTTCGCAGGAGGGGGGAGTGTCGACGTGGGTCTTTCGGGTATTCGAGTTCTTTACTCTCGGACTCCTGGTTTGATCAAGAGTCGATGCCATAGGAGCGGTCCGTCGAGCTTGTGAGTGTGCCTCGACAAGGGTGCACGAGGGGAGGAAGGGGTAGCTCTTGTCAAGTCTCTACTACCGCGGGGCGTGAGGCAGCACGCGTGTGCGTGCGTGTGCGCATGTCTGTCAGTCTGTCTGTCTGGCTGTCTCTGTGCGTCTCCGTGCGTTTCTGCGCCTCTCTGTCTGTCTGTCTCTGTCTGTCTCTGTCTGTCTCTGTCTGTCTCTGTCTGTCTCTGTGTGTCTCTGTGTGTCTCTGTGTGTCTCTGTGTGTCTCTGTGTGTCTCTGTGTGTCTCTGTGTGTGTGTGTGTTTCAGAGACGAGGGGTGCATGCTGGGACAAAACGAAAGCTATTGGTGTGTTCAGAAGCGAACAGTACACGTACATTGATTATAAGCCCTTGATGGTAAGGCACGCTGACAGGTAAGTGAGTCTGATCTGTTGTCTGTAGACATGGACCCTGTAGCATTCGGCCTCAGAAGGGCTCGCCCTGAACCATGTCACAGAGTTTGTGACTTCCGAAAGCGGCAGCTTTGGGTAACAGCTTCAACATCTGCACCAAGAGCCGCAAACCACAACGCCTGCACCTCCTTGCTACACTCTGCCCAGGCCGAAAGCGTGTGTGTGTGTGTGTGTGTGTGTGTGTGTGTGTGTGTGTGTGTGTGTGTGTGTGTGTGTGTGTGTGTGTGTGTGTGTGTGCGTGTGCGTGTGCGTGTGCGTGTGCGTGTGCGTGTGCGCGTGTGCGTGTGCGTGTGCGCGTGTGCGTGTGCGTGTGGGTGTGCGTGTGCGTGTGCGTGTGCGTGTGCGTGTGCGTGTGCGTGTGCGTGTGCGTGTGCGTGTGCGTGTGTGTGTGTGTGTGTGTGTGTGTGTGTGTGTGTGTGTGTGTGTGTGTACCGCGCGGCAACACAGTACGAGCACGCGTGGGAGATACTGTAAGAACGAACACTGCCGGAGTTGCAAAACGGCGTGGTGGCAGGAACAGACTGTACACACTATCTGCTATATACAACATACTGTTACATACTCTAGTCGATACTCTCCATACTCTCGTACTATGGTCTACTATAGACCATTGCAAATAGACACAAGACCATAGACTATGCACTACGATCACTGTGGACTCGAACAAAAGACTACACTGCAGACTGCACACTATAAACCGTACTGCGGCTTGGGTGAGCGGAGGCTGGAGAAGGCAGTGGACGATGCAGGGGGCGGGCCCTGCACAAGTTCGCCTTCCGATTTTTCTGCTGTGGGGCGTTCTCCTAAACCCTCGACTCAACCCTACAAGTTCACAAGTTCAAGCCTTGCAGTGAGTATCTCAGTCTGCTTGAAAATTGGAACGCTTTAGAGATCTTACGGGCTAAAGCCCTCCAGAGCCCTTTCACAGGAGTATCGAACAGCATCCAACAAGCCAGAGCTGCTCGACCGTGCGGCACCGGCCGGACTGGTCTCGGGATCCGCGAATCCTGCAGGCACGCTCGCGGGCACTTTGCCAAGGATTGTCAACGGCAGCCATCGGTAGAAGTGTGTGTGTGTGTGTGTGTGCGCTTGTGATGTGACTTCTGGGGGCTTCTGAGGGCTGAGAGGGTTCAAGCCAAGCTTAGATGACTTTGAGCTCTGTAGGATGTAAGGGTTGGCACCTATGCCAAAGCCACTGGGGTCCAGTAGTCCCGACCCCAGTTTCCCATGCGAGGCCTGTGGCCACAGCCCCCTTTTCGAAGCCATTGTTCGCGTTGCCCCAGTACACCTGAGACCAATCACCGAAGCTTCTGGGATGTTCTGGGGTCGAAAAGCTCAGGCTTGTGACTGACGAGCACATGTTCACCGGGCGATACGGCAATCTGCCTGCACAGTGTCGGACACGACGCCCGCGGGTGTGGCGACATTTGGGCTCTCCGAGGCCTGCCAAGCGTGCTTTCAGAAAGCCCTCCGCCACACACCTCATGGCTACAGCCATGGTGACCTCAGACCTTGAAGCACCCAGCCAGCTTACCCGTCTTGCTGGTCCTCATCGTGTCATATTCGCAGTTGTGCAGGGTCCCC